AAAAAATGTGGCAACAAATTGGGAAGAAAACTGATAGGACGGAGTAAGGATGGGGATAGTGTCAGAGGAGAAACGTTTGAATGGGTAGTATTTCGCCAAAATTTTCCCCAACAACAGGACGTGCCCTGATTCGAATACGAGTGTTCGGCCTGATTGAGCAGTAGGCTTGCAACCTCATAAAGCACTAAAGCAAGTCAAATATTTACGACCTGTTGAGGTTAAGAGAAGAGGTGGGGAATTCCATACACATTTCTTGGCGTCGGCGGCCTCTGAAAGCAGACTAGGCTCATCTGTGGCTCCTTTTTCACTGCCTGTGGTGCGACCTACGAAACCTAAGTTAGCAAGTCTGTATCACCATGTGATAGAAAACGCTAAATCAGTGAGCTGGCAGCACAATTTTCGGCACTTTCGTCCAATCAAAGAGAGTCGCACCCTGTCGCTTTTGTAGCCATTTGGCGGACATTTTCTATTCTCTGACGAGAACTTTTTGAATGTTGTTCTTCTATAGCCAAGTCATTCGGTTGTTGTTCAGGAATATTTGATGGAATGCGTTATTCAAGTATTTGGTGACGATTTCCACCTTGCGACTTTGAATGAGTTTCTACGAGCTTGTGGAGATTTAGTCCCAGTAAGATAGTAAGGCTAATTAATGGTTGCACTGTAACTGAAAGTTATGTTTTTTTCAGGAAGTTAATGTCAAAAACATCCTTATTGCATTGATTGAAAGGCTGGCATTGTTTGCTGCAAATCCGGATGGACCTGGCATCCCAGCAGATGTGAGCTTATTGACTCTTCTTTTGTTTATTATTTGTTTACATTGAATTGTGGCTTGTTTTAGATTCAGCTGTTCGATATTTTCTCTGAGCAAGCGAAAAATCTCGTCAAAAATCGAACCGAAATGCCTATGGAGGACATTGTGTCACTTTATGTAAGCAACAATCCGATCCACTTACACAGTAGTAGTTCACAGTGTGCAGTTCGTGCTTCACTCTTGATTTTTAAGGCCGCTTTGGTCAGCTTAGCTATTAAATGTTACCCAAATCGGCCAGAGTTCGCAAACACATCATTTGGAAGTTTGAAATGCATTTTGGAGGAGAAGAAGAAAACTGCGTACGTTTATTCTAATATCTTTCCTTCCTGATTAAATTGAGTATTGCGTTTTAAGCAGCGTTCATGCTTCGAGGTGACGTGCGCCGACGTGCTATAATTGCAGCAGCGCTCCGGTGCTACAGATGCTACAGACAGCTGCAAAAGGCCATCAAGCGGCACTAGTCGCTAGTTTTTGGGAGAGTATAGAAGACTAGGAAAGTGCCAAATTGTATGAAGGGAGCGCCTAGCCTCCCCTTGTCCTACACTCTCAAATCAATAGCGGGTCGGCGCCGATCGATTCCCATCCGGCTCTGTTCGCCTCTGTACTGCTTGAAGCGCTGCTGCAGGTTTCAGCGTGTCGACGCGTTATCGCGAAGCTTAAAAGCTGCCTCAGTAGCGTCGAGAAAAGTTTTATTCACTTTCAGCATTGAACCATTCGATCCTGTTGGTCGAGAGTTGATGAAACTTATCCGATTGCCCATCGATGAGTACAATAATGCTTTAAAAATTGCTGGCCTCACCGAGTTTGTCCCAGTAATGGAGAGCTTCAAGTATCATGGACGTTGTTTGGCTGCGTCACATATCATTCAGGTATCAGCCCTTCAGATCACATTTACCT